TCCGAAGGATCAAAAGGCAAACCTTGTCAGAGTGTTGGAGGGATCCACGATATTGACACAAAGGCCAAATCTATACCTCTTTTCGGCCCAATGAATCTGGTTGATTGAGGGAACACTTGGTTGTGAACCACAACATCTTGTTTTTGGAACCTGGTCGATTTCATGTTCACCATTTAACGCATTGTAAAAAGAACCCGATCATCATCCACAATAGTGTTCGGGCGCAGGGCCCAGTTCCGGAGTCGGGGATTTGTCTGCTAGGTTTTACATGATGGTTCCCCTAGTTGCAAGGGGGCGAGACTTACTGAAACAACCTGACCTTGGTCCCTTTCAAAGGGAAACTCAAGGGAGGTTGTTCAAATAACTGTGATTGAAATAAGTTCAAACAAGCAGCGTCGGCCCAATCCTGACCCCAAGCCCTTCCTAACCCTGTGACAGGTCAAGTCTGCTTCTATAAAGGAATGCCGACCCCTGACTAACCAGCCTCGTGGACGTGGATTGTTCGAGGTTCCCCCCCCCCCCCGAGCCAATCCAGATTTTCTCTGAAATTGAACACCCGCACCCCCTATGGGTTTTGTCAATGTGAAATGGCAAGCCAATTGGCGCCTCTGGGTTTTACATGTGAATCAGTGGGCCAAGAATGCCTAGCTGTTCCTTTCGATCCACTTGGGCCAATTTGGTTCAGAAATGCCATGGAGAGGTGGGCCAATGGCTCGGAACCTCCTGAAGGCAGGCCACGAGGCTCGCTCGACCCGTGGCTTGGTTTCCTTTTTTTGCTCCCAAAAGGCGATGGTCGCGTTTTAAATCAGACGCCGGGCTGTGTGGGTTTTTGCTCCCAAAAGGCGATGGTCGTGGTTTGAATTGGAAAGAAAGTTGTGTGGTTTGCCCCGAGTTGGACCACGTACATGTATGGGTAAGACGGAAAACGCCCCCGCGCTGCGGACTTATCTCAACCCTTGCTGGTGGACTTCCGACTCAAATCCTAAAGTTCGGGGCCAAAAAACACGTCCAAACAATTCCGCTGGCTTTGAATGCTATCCTTTTTCTTATTTTACAAAGGGAACCCAACACCAACCACAAGACATCAGGCGCCCAGTTTCTGACGTGGAAAGCTGCATGAAGCATCTCTGGACCTGTTGAAGGTCGGGATCTAGGTTTTGGGGTGTCAAGTCTGCGCCCAATGCCTTTGATGCGGTCGAAAGGTGTGACCCAATGTCATTGGGTCTTTCCATGCGGTCGAAGGGTGTGTGTCTGTTTTTGAGGCAGCCCTTTTGGGGCTCTTTCTGAAAGGGAAACAAAAGGGGCACCGCCATTTTGTCGGGGCTTCCCTATTTCAAGGCACACGCACACACATATCATCCAATGTGCCAACACAGAGCCCTAAATGAGGCACACACATGGCCCAAGAGTCAAACAATGGCCCATGATTGGCAGATGGGAGGATGGCAGTGCGAGCCAGTATGAGCAAATATCAGATAATGTCTTGCCCCTGCCCCTTTCATGAGCTGGAGCACTAATTTGTGCCGTTTGCACCATTGCCTTGCCTCACAGCCCCAATCAAAACTGAAGGTTAGGGACAATCCCAGGCATAAATAGCTGCGGATATCCGCCTTCTCAATTCTTTATATGGCTCTTGGTCGACCATTTGAATACCGGGTTTTGATTGCGACTCACATTTCTTTGCCCGCAAGCATCTCCTTTGCTCCTCCATGTTAAGGTCAGGATTGGGAGCTCCCAAACAAGAAGCAACATGAGACAATAGCGGTGTCCTGGCTGGGTGAGATGGTGCAAACGCGAGCGCGCATGTTTGAACGGTTTTTGGATTCCCTGAAAGGACACCAAATCGGGGATGGCTTTTCTGGGGTTTTATTCCATTTGTCTCTCATCTTCTGCATCTCTCGCACCGACCGCACGTCTGAGTTGTTTTTGTTTTTTAATTTAAAGAAGGCCTCCTAGGAACCGCCATGCATTTTCGCAACCCCTTGGACCCCTTGGAATCCTCGTCAAGTTGATGGACGCCCAACGGTCGTTGGGGCGCTGGGGAGCCGCGAGCGGCGCTCGTGAGGTGGTGGCCTTCGACGTCTCGGCGGCGAACGCGGAGCGCTTCGTGGCGGCCGGGGGCAAAGTGCTGGAGCCCGGGGCCTCGGAAGAGCCGCCCGCTCCGCGCGTTTTCGGGTTTTCGGGTTTTCGGCGCTCCGAGGTTTGCTGCGGTTGTGTGGGGTGATCAGGTGCTTAATTAACCACTGGCTGGCCATGTGTTTTTTTGGTTATGTGGCAAGCTTTGCGAGCCAGAAGCAAAAACGTGGGTAGCTGAAGGATGCAAAGCATTCAAAGGGGGGGTTGGGGAACGTGAAACCTTCGAGGAAGTGAGAGACGAAGGTTGGTGTGTCTAAACCCTAAACCAACCCTGAACCTCGCCCTGAACCTACCCACTTTGCCCCTAAACTCACTTTTGCCCCCGGACGAAGCCAACCCCACACCAGGCCCAAATCCATGTCACCCCCACCCAAACATACTTCAATCAACCCCCTCAAGCACCGTTCGCCATCCCTGAACCCACCCTAACTTTCCAGAAGCACTAAGCCCACCCCCCACACTCTAAACCTGAAACCCACCCTAAGAAATTTCCCAAGCTGACCCTAAGCCCAACGCAGACTGGACAAGTCCCACACATGTTAGGAGAAATAAGTTTGTAAAAGAATTGGGGGCGGTCGAAACCACCCAGAGCGAGGGACGTAGGGCTGGTTGGTTCTGCCTCTGACCCCAATGCCAAGGTCCCCCCTGGCGGTGGCGGCTGCGGCCAAGACCGTTGTGACGATGCTCCCCGCCGGAGCTCACGTCCTTGAGGCCAAAAAACGGGTGGTTTCCCTTTAACTCCGAAGGGCACACCCTTGATTGCTGTTGGGTGGGATCTTTAGACTTTAACCTTTTTGGGCTTTAACTTTTTGGGAAATCAAGTGTTTTCCATTGAGCCCACAAACAATAGAAAATTTGTGCAGAGGGTCAACAGCAACGAAGCTTTTATCCCGTTTTATGCCTGCCGCTCCGCAAGAGACGGGGAGGTCGCCCCATGTAGCCCAGTTCAAAGCGAGCTCGAAAGAGATCTTCGCTGCGGGAGCTTCTTGATCGAAGTCTCGTTGAAACGAGGGCATTTCGATGGGAACCGCAAAGTATGATATACACCTGGTTGATTTCTGGGTTTGCCCACTTTTTGTGGGGGCCTTTTCACTTTTGGAGGGAAACACTCCCCACTAATAGGACAGGCTGATTAATCCGGGTCAACTACTCGGAAGGGGATTGCTTCAACTACTCTTCCAATGTCCTTTTTCCTGGGTCCATTAAAGTGACATCCCCCTAAACTTGATGTTTTAGGGGGTATTTTTCTGGAACCCCTTCAACACGTTCACTTTGCTGCTCCCAGCTTTTGGTTTTACCAAAGACCCAAGCGCAAAGCCATTGACCTCACCTGCGTCAGGTCTATGGCGGCAGCAAGGGTCTTCTCGCCGATGGTGGGGCTGGGGGCCTAGCCGCTGAACGGGTTCGAAGTGGTTCCGATCGTTGAGCAAGACGATCACCTGGGAGTGTTGGCCGGTTTTTCAGCAAACCCCCGGCCCCAAACAATAAGATACAAAGGCGGTTTTCCTTCAAGACCCAACAACATTGTACCCTCAAAACGACGCACCCATATGTAGCATCCGAAAGGGACCCCATTTGTAACAACCAGAAAAAACAAAACAAAAAAAGCAAGGCACACGTCATGAACGTCATGAACAGTTGGACCCTTCGACCCTGGTCGGCTTTCGCTTTCTTTCAAACCAGCCTCATCCCCGAAGTGGACCGTGCGTTTCTCCATGGGCATCGAAAGTGGGACCAGCTCCGCGGCCCCAGTCCCCCCGGTCCGCACCATGAAACTGAACTTCGCGCCCCCCCCCCCCCCCCGCCCCGCCTACATGCCCCCCCCCCTAAAAAAAAGGACTTGCCCCAACCCTGGCCGGAATTTGTGTCGAGGTCCCTAAAACTTTTGGTTAATGGGTGTTAAAGGGCTAGAGAGGGGAATGGTTTTGGAGGGGGGGGTCGCGATCTCCCTTGGGGCTCGGGATCCAAAGATCGAAGGTGTGGTACCCAAGCCAGGGGCACGTAGTTATTGCTCTTGGGACCTGGATGCTGGCAGCCTTGGGCCACACCTTGTTGAAGTAATTAGATTCAAACCACCTTGCTTGAACAGGGCTCCTTAAAAGATACATTTTGCAACCATTTGAAACATGCTGCTTTTTCAACACCAAAATAAAGGGAAGCCACCATTTACAAGGCAATGTTCAGGTGTATAATGTAAGGATCCCTGTTGAAGAACCTCCTTTTGGCTTCGGGACTGACTCCGACCTGGTGTAAACCAATGTTGGAGACCCCGCTTGAGCCGGCGTGCTAGGCGGAGCAGGGCTCACTCCTCATCGACTGCTCCACTTGCGAGCCGGCGGTGGGCAAACAGGCGGATCTGAGACTGAACGGATCTGACGGGTGCGACCCCGTGAAAGTGGATGGGCTCCTCTGGGTTTCGATCCCCAACCCCAAAAAAGCTACGTGGGGATCCCCAGAAACAGATGCGCTCATGTGGATGCACGCGTGTTTCTTCGAGAGACGCACTCATGCTTTTTGCTGAGAGCAACATCTCCGTGCCCAAGTGATTCGATTTGTATGATCGATGAATACAAGAGCAGGCGGCAGTCTCACGTCCCGAGTTCTGGACTCTGGACTGTGCACTTTTCAGGCTGAGTGGGTTGCTCGTGTCAGTTGTTGATCTTGTTTATTGTTTACCATCCATTTTTCCACACATGACACCCACCATGCAAAGCCACCCAAACCACCCAAAGCCACACAACACCACTCAAAACCACCCAACAGCCAAAACCATGTAAAAAAACAAAACACATTTTTAACAAACTCACAAAAAAACAACCATACTTTCCCCCCCCATAAAATAACGCAAACGTGCCCCAAACCGGGGGGAAAAAACACCACACCAGTGGCTGCAGTTGTGCGATCAGGTGGCCGCCTTGGCGAGCAGACGAGGCGAAGGGGGGTCTGGTTTTGGCGCTGCCCCATACGAACCTTACCCCCCACCTTGCTGGTTTGGAGTTTGGAGCACCTTCGGAAACCTGTAAACGTTTGGTGCATGTTGCTTGGATGTTAGGACTTAAACTTTTTGCCAACTAGTGGGTTTTCCATGAAACCACTAAAAGTTAAGCTTTTAGCAGGGGAGCAGAAAGCCACCGAGAAGCCCACCCAACCAAGAGGGAAGCCAAGGGAACCAGGCTCCCATGGGCCCGCACCCATACAAAGCCAGTGCCAAGAAAACATTGCGACAGTATGCTCGACAATGTTGGGATACTGGCCACCTTTTTGGGTGACCTTTGGGGCTAAAGAGTAGCCGCTCCATTTTCAAATCCTTGCACTGGGCTAAGAGAAATAGACCGCGCAGGGCGCAGCAAAGACTACATATGTGGTCGGTAGAATTTGTTTCAACATGTTCAGCCAAGCAACCCTGTACGCCTACGAAAAAATCCACATGACGACGTTGGAAGACTGGTGGCTTGAACTGTAAACAGGTGGCCTGGGGGTAGTTTTATTGTCCTGTCATATTCAAGCAGGGCACTGTTGTTGATGCCATGTTAGTATTTGTGGTTTAGCAATTGTGTGGTGAATCTAGTGGGGAACCTGTGCTGGGATGCGGGATTTCATTCAGGCATGGGGGAACTCACAGAAAATCCCACAAACATCAGGCGGACTCTGGTTAATTTTCCCATGCCCTTGATGGGGAAACCAGTTCAAGGGCCCACAGAATTTCACACACACACACATGCTTCTCCTACTGTGGATGGACACAATCCTGCACCACCTACGAAGCCATGGAATGATGATTCCCCTGTAAATACCAACTAACAATGGTTGCCCATGGTTTGAAAGTGGTGCAGGATTTCGTCCATCCACAGTATCTGACCCTAATGGATCCCAGTTACCATAGTTGGTCACTCTGCGTTGTTTCCCTTGGTTTGCAAAGGGTGTTTCTCTTGGTTTCCTACACTCGGTAAAACGAATCGCTGTGACAGGGACACCAAAAGGCAACCCGTTTTCATTTCGGGAACCTTTGGCAAATACTTTGTGAAATGTTGGGTAAGGGAAGCCACACCCCGGGTTCGACGTCCATTTCCCCTTGGCTTCTGCGGGGACATGGGACGTGTCGATCGACTGTGAGGCGCCGCGGCGGTGGACGCCCCGGTGTCCGGCGGCACCCCGGCGGCCGAGCAGGCGAAGCTGTCGGGAGAAAAGGAAGTACCAGGAATTGGACCGCAGGTTTTGGTCGACTTGCTTCCTTTTACCAGGGCAAGCCATTTTGGGGTGACCCTATTTTTCGCCCACTCCCAAATGAGCAATGCGAAGTGCCCACTGCCCAACGGGGTGGTTTCCCGTTTCGGTGACCCGGGGTCAGCGTTAGTGTGCCGTTTTGGACAATGGGAGAACGGACTGAGAACTTTGGGGAGGGAGGCCTGAACTTGCAACGTCCAGCCGTGTTAAGGTTTGCAGAGCTGGGTTCCCGTCAAGGAACGCATGGACAGGAGTTCTGATAGTCTTGAACCCGGGTGGAGAATCGAGAACGGTTCCGACTCGTCCTGACCATAAGATGCGGACATCCGCCCTTTGATTCGTGACATTTAGGGTAAATTCCTTCAGTACCGGGGTTGCAACTGACAAAACTACTGGTAGTCTGCCATGGGTGTTGCGGAGGAGGAGATTGAGCGACCACGAAAAGCAGGGGGAGCCAACAAGCTTTGCGACCCAAGCCTCGCGGCAGTGCTTGGTGCGGGTCCCAGGCGCTGTTCAGATTGGGCCATGACCCCCAAGAGACCGAGCACCTGGGGAAGGTCGATGGGCGCACGGCCTTTCCCCGCGCTCGTGAGGGATGAGATTAAGCGAAGGTGGAGAGATGGAAGGCAGGCTCAAAGCACCACAGGGAGCTCTTTGGCAGGGGCTATGGCAGATGGAACTTTGTGTGAAGTGGCTGGAAGCAACGGGGCTTTTTGTCTGTGACAATGGCCATTGACTGCGAATACGATGTAATTCGGCAAATGCCACCAGCTCCATCACGGCGGAATTTGATCTCGCCCATGGGCAAGTTTGAGAAGGCCACAGACAAGCCCAACAAGTTGATCAATCCAGGCGAGGTCTCACAGCTATTCTCCTCGTCCTGCTCAGAGATCATGTGGGGCCACCCAATGGCAGCATGGAGATAGCCGACGTGACCGTTCCGAAGTGGGATCCCGTGTCGGTTTCTGTCGGCTTCCGTCGTTTTCTGTCGTTTTTTTTGGGTGGCCTGACGATCTGTTCCCCTACGATCTGTTCCCCACACTGGACTTGTGAGGGAAGTCAAGAATCCTCTGGAGTTTCCCCTGCTCAAGTGCCACCACCCTGGCACCTGGTCGGACCACCGATGACAGAGAGAAGATGCAGACTAACCCAATGTAGATGCCTCACTTACGCAGAGCAGACTTAAAAACTTCAAGGCTTGGGCGCAATGCTGATGGGCCAAGGCTACGCATTTCAGTTTCCTTCTGGCAGAAAGTTAGTCGGGCCTCCTTTGAAATGGCCTCCACACTAAGTGTCAGGGCGGCTGATTTGTGGAAGGAATATTATTGCTCTGACATACGGATGCAAACAGACTAGGAGCCACTTAGCCGGCGCCCTGTAGATCTACTGCCTCCTCGATACCCTGCAGGTTCCATTCAAGCGGCAGTTCCCGTGCTGGGGCTTTGTATGGCCTGCTCGGACGACCCAATTTTCCCATGCCCTCGCGAGTTTCAAGCGATTTGTCCATGGGAATACACCCCCTTGCCCCCGCAAATGGAAGTCGAATGGAGGGTCTTGGAGGGCTATCCTCTCTAAAAACGCTCCAAGCATCCACTTCCCATGATGGTAACAGGAGAGCAGGAATGCAACGTAGTATCTATTGGGAATGCTGATGCCACGCAAGTGCTGGCTACAGCCTGTTTACACATGGATTGTTTGGGCAACTCACCAAGCGCTACAGAACAGAACGGTTTCGCATGTCGAGCCGGACAGGCGACGCTGACCTTCATGGTGGGGGGGCATTGGCCTCAGAGTTGGTGGCGTGTCAAGTTTCAAGCGTGTCGTTTTTGAGTTAGTAGTGTGGTTTATTTGTGCGCGTTATTAACTTGATAGTGGTTTGTGATCATGACCTAATCTGCCTTTTAGTCCCCCAACACTCCATTCAAGTTATGTCAGCTCCGGTAGCCCTGCAAATAAGCACGGAGGTGCAACTTTCAACTCGGACTGTAGCAGGGCTCTGTCTCTTTCTCTTTTTTTTGAGGGAAGCCAAAGGGACATCACCCCTTCTGATCCCCATTTTGAGAGACCCCCCAAGACTTTCTCGTCTGCAACTGAACATGCCCCCCGAAACGAGATGCGGTCGAACATGGACGCTCTCTAATGGTCGTTCATTTGGCAATGTGCGGGTTGCTTGTTGCGCAAAGATGTGGCTACGTGTTCAACTAGGTCCCCCAGGGTCGTGCCCTTTTACCATTGTTTTTGGGGAGGGTTCCCCTACCAAAAAAAGACTACAGAAGAAAAGGGCACCCTTATTCTAACCTCTCTACTGGAGGACCCAGTACATTAAGCACTTTAAGCCACGCTGAAACAAATACCAGCCCATCCGCAGTGGGAAACCCCCTGTTTCCAATGCCATAGGCAGTCCAATGGTGGCACGGCCGAGGCCGGAGCCGGCGTTTCAAGCGGCCAGCCTCGTACTCCAACTGATGGGGAAGAAGGCCGGCGCGGCTGGAAGTCGGACGACCAACCTCCTGGGACCGGAAAAAGGCCGCGTTTTGGGAAGGGGGTCTTGCCTTTCGTGTAGCCGCTCTTGGCGGATGTATCTCGACGCCCACTAGGACATGGATCAACCTGCGTTTGTTTTTTCCCTATGTGACTTGGGCTGAGCTCTAGCCCAATGAAAGACGAATCTGCCACCTATGGCTCACCTTCCCAGATTCGATGACTTGGGATAGGTGGTGTACTGCGGCGATGCCGGCATGGGCCAGGCGCGCTCACGGGAGACAAGATTTGTACCGGCGGATGTTACAGACCCTGCCCCTGCCTGATGCAGATATGGCCATGGGTGAAAACCCAAATCGGTTGGTCCCAGTGAACATCCCAATCTAACCACTAAAATAGACTAAAATGGGTGGTGCACCTACCCCAAAATGGGATCCCATTGGTTTTGACCCACAGCCATGTGGCTCAACAGCTGAAACTGTCTTCCAATGGGCCCTGTCTAAGTACATGGCTTGGATGTTTTTTCACAAAAAGAAGTTCCCCTGCCTCAGACGGCCTACCCGCCACGTCCAAGCAGTCAAAGAGCAACTCCCCTGAGGACCCCCTTCAAAGGTTCAAGCACCCTTCGATTGTTTGTGGGGTTGCAAACGATCCTAACCTGGGACCAAACGATTATTAGTTTGATTTTGGTTTCCCTTCAAGGCAACACCAGAAGGCCACCCCCAACAACTAGAACCGCGGGTGACCCGAAAGCATAACACATAAGTGTGCGTTGATTTCAAACATTTATCTATGTTCACCACGTTTTTGCAAGGTGCTGCGGCACATGTTTGTCTGCGCCGACGTTGTCTTCTCTGCGCTGGAAAGCTCGCGGGGTTTCTCTGCGCCGCTCAGTTCCTTGCGCTAAGTTCACGCAAGTTCCCGCAAGATCTCGCAAACTTTTCTGCGCCCAAGCTCTCTATGCAAGTTTCTCTGCGCGTCTCGGCTCAAGTTTATGTGCTCAAGTTTCTCTGCAGTTCCGATGCAAGCTGTCCGTACAACTTGCACAGGAGCAAGTTTGTTTGCGCAAGTTCTCGACGCAAGTTTCTCTGGGCGAGCCTTGGTGCATGTTTTTCTGTGAAAGTGGGCTGTGCATATTTCGCTGAGCAGCTCTCTCCCTTCAAGTTTATCAAGTGTTCTCGATGCACGCAACTCCGCAGCATCCTCCTGCACCTCGACCACGCCGATTCGCAGAGGGTCGCGAGCGCAGATCAAAATGTAGCAACACCTCGAACGTTTGAACTTCAACCACCCTGGATCGGTGGGTGTCTTTCTGTGTCAGTTAGCTTGAATGTAAATAAGCTTCGCCAGTTTCAGCGATTTTCTCAATAAGACAGTTTCGGTTCAACGCCTTCACAAGATTCATCTCCTTGGCTCCCAAAATGGTACGTTTCCCTCATGTTTTGTTGGAGGCACGCAACACTTGCCTGACAGATCGTGGCAAGCGGCGCCACCTGACCACCCCCCTTCGGCGTCGGCGTCAGGCGGCCAAGCTCTGCAACAACCTGGTGCTGGGCATTACCATGGCAGCCGTCTGCGAGGCATCGCTATGGCCACCCGAGTTTTCCATGTGCTTGGAGAATGTCAGCTATACTTCCATTTTTTCTTTCTTTTTTTCCTTTTACTTTTCTCCTGTTGGTTTTAAAGGGAATCTATCACTACTGGAAATATTATTTCATTTTTTTACAGGGGTCTGAACCAAATGGAAGTATACGGTTGGGTTTCCCTTTGAAACCATCGCCTTCTCATTGGGTGTGACGCCTTTTCTATTGGGTTGGCTGGAGGCAAGAGGTGGATGAGTGAGGGCCGGGGCTACTCATTCTTTGGCTTCTTTAAAACAAGCAACGGAAAAGGGTTCCCTCAAAACCACACGCCCATGATTGGAGTTGGGGCATTGCTTGAATCCAGTTTTCCTGGTTGTCGACAGTTTTGGGGCCCTGTCCTCATGTACTGCCAGGCACTGGGGACTGACTTTGGCAGGGCTCACTGTATTCCTGGTCATGAAACATCCAGTTGTTTAAGTGCAGGAATATTTGAGGACGAGTAGGGAAAGGAGGGAAAGCAAAGGAGAGAAAACACCCGGCTGCTTTGTAAGCAGCTGATGATCATTCTAAAGAAATCGGCTGAAGAGGACCAGCGTTTCCAGTGGCAGTTTTGGGTTTTTGGGCGGCAGCTTCGGCTGGAGTGCAATGCCCAGAATGCGAGCAACCTGCCAGCTTGGAGTGACCCAATTCGAACCTGGTGTCAAACATGTTCTACAAAAAAACGATCTTTCGCCCGAACCATCCGATCCAACAGGACCTCGCCCGGTGTCGGCTTCTTGGAAGATGAAGAAATCGGTACTTCGTGAGGCTCTCTTCTGGAAATTCGTCCCATTCTGCTCACTCTGGGCCACTCCGGGGAAGTTGCCCTTTTTGAGGTCCCATCGAGTGTGCGCCCTCCAGCAATCCACGTGACGAAGGGAGCGCTTGTTTCAATTTGGGTCTCCAAAGAAATGGGGATGGCTCAAAATCAATCAGGAGGGGTTACACAGGTTTTGGTCCATGTTTCCACATACCAGGGTTCCATTTTGGTACCTATTCTTGACCCACACCCAAATGTTGGTTTATCAGTGGTTTTCCGTGGAACCTTGTTCCTTCAGGGGCATCTCCAGTCTTTGGCACGTGCCCATGCTGGCACCCCTCAGGTTTCTACTTGCATTGGGCATAGGACCCGAGTATATACAGACTGGTCCAATGTGGCAAGGGTTCAGCTGAAAATCACCCCACGCGAATTTGCCGAGCTCCACAATGGTTCCGAGGGGAGCCGGGGGAAGGGTGTGTTGCTTTTGATACAGTGCCCCTCGACCGCCAAACAGACCCCACTCCAGAAGTCAGGCCGAGCCAAGCAGCTTTCATTCATCACGTCACAGTGCGTCCTTTTCTGAGTCTCGGCATTTTGGGGTTGGTTTTCTTGCGGGGACTGAGGGAACGACCCTTATAAACCATCCAACTGGTGGTTTCCTTTCGGGACTCCGGAAGCTCCAGGTTTAGTTTCATTTCCCCACCGATTTCGCCGCACGTTTTGACCACTTTCTAGGGGTACCTTCCCCATTCTTTCCAAGGATCCTTCTTTCTAGAAAACCTCCAGAAACCCAGGTTGAAAAGAATGGACAAGGACTCAACCCCTAGAATTCCAACCACCTAATTACAAGAATTAGAACAAATGATGTTTACAACCACCAAGGGATGTTTTTCCCTTCAATCCACCCCTAGAACCCTGGCTCCAGAACACCCCATCATCTGCAGGCTCCACCGACCCCCCGCGCGCGCCTCGAGCCCGGCCGCGCCTCGAACCCGTCGAGCGAGAAGCTTCGCGCGAGGGCCACGCCCTGGCCGGGCGCCTGGGCCTGGATCAGCAGAAGCTGGCGGACATCCTGAACACCAGCTCCGGGAGGCCGCGGATTTATTACTTAATTAATTCATTTATTTATTATTTTAATCAACAAATAAATAAATACATAAATATATAAATAAATAAATAACAAGAAAACCATGCCGCCCCGCGGTTTTTCTTTCGTTTGGTTCGGACACCAAAAAACATGAAAAAGACGAGCAGGAAGCCATTTTATAGGTTCTTTTGGTTGAGCACAGAGACAACCCCAAATTGTTAAAAGAAGACGAGAAAAGGAGACCAACCTTTTTTAGGGACCATGTTGAGAAACAAGGCCAGCCCAACAACTCTGGGCGCAAGGAGCTCACCCAGTTGCCCAAGCATCGCATGATTTCGACACTTGGACCGAGGTTTTGTTGAAGCAACCTCCTTTTTGGTTCGCTACGGACAGTTGTTGACACCGCCTTTGCACCGCCTTACCTTAAAATCCGCGCAGAAACCGGCGCTAGGCGCTTTGGCGGGTTGCGGCAGAGTTTCGTGCGGAGTTCCGGGCCGGGTCAGGACAACCGCTGGCCGTTTCGGAGTTGTTTGTGACAACTTCTCGCGAGGAGCGCGTGATCGCATGTTTTGGGGGTAGCTGAAAGCCAAAGGGGTTTGAACTTCAGGTAGAGAGGGGTGTGTTGCCAAAGTTGGCCGGGTGCCGTTGGAAGGTTTTGCGCCGCAGGGAAGTGCTGTTGCAAGGTGCTGTTGCAAGGTGCTGTTGTTTAGGGCGGTCTAGCAAGTTTTCTGTGCACGTGTTTTGGATATGTCTAGTATTTTCTAGCATATGAGTCGTTTACTTGCATGCTTTGTCAGCCCATATTTCAATCATCTTTCTAGCCTTCCTTCGAATATGCCTAGCATGTGTGTATTCCTAACAATTGTCTAGCATCTGCCTGACTGTTCAATACAACAGCTGTTTAGCTTATCATATATTTTGCATGTCTAGCACACGTCTAGTAACTACTTAGTACATTTCTATTCTTCAGTCGAGCAAATGTCTGAGTTATTTCTAGTGAGTGTACGCAGCATTATTCCGGCATGTAAACCATGTTTCTACTGCATCATCTCCAGCCCTGTTACATCACAGCAAGAAGCGTTGCATGATGGCGTTGAAGTTTCCAAACACTCAAGCTTTTGCTGGACAAAAACAGCGTTGGTGGTACCCCCGTCTCAATAGAAACATGCTCCCCAGTGTACAAATAGTGCAATCATACATGTATATATATATACACATACATGCAATACACATACACGATACATACAAGTAGACGCATGCATGGATGTGGATGAATGTACGTATGCTCATACATAACATACATACATACATACATACATACATACATACATACATACATACATACATACATACATACATACATACATACATACATACATACATACATACATACATACATACATACATACATACATACATACATACATACATACATACATACATACATACATACATACATACATACATACATACATACATACATACATACATACATACATACATACATACATACATACATACATACATACATACATACATACATACATTACATACATACATACATACATACATACATACATACATACATACATACATACATACATACATACATACATACATACATACATACATACATACATACACATACATACATACATACATACATACATACATACATACATACATACATACATACATACATACATACATACATACATACATACATACATACATACATACATACATACATACATACATACATACATACATACATACATACATACATACATACATACATACATACATACATACACATACATACACATACACATACACATACATGCATACATGCATACATGCATACATGCATACATGCATACATGCATACATGCATACATGCATACATGCATACATGCATACATGCATACATGCATACATGCATACATGCATACATGCATACATACATACATACATACATATATATATATATATATGAACAAACATAATGTATATAGTTCTAAACAAGTGTACATGCGAACATGAGGCATATGCCTTTCTGGCCGCGAGGTGCTGGAGTAGCGACACCTACAACCCTTGCCCTGGCGTCATGGAGAACGTGCGCCGGGATTCAGACATCCGCTCGCGCCGGCTTACGCATCTTGGTTTGCCCACTTCACCCCCAAAAAAATGGCTGTGGGTCAAAACCAATGGTACCATTTGGGGTAGGTGCACCACACATTTCAGTCTATTTTAGTGGGGATTGGGATGTTCACTGGGGGCTAACCGGGATCCAAGGGCAAGCGCAAGCCCACCCCTCGGCCCTACGCCTCCGGGGTCTTTTTCGTTGGACCCACGTCGGCCTCTGGCCTCAAATCGGCGCGACACGCAATTTTTGGAAGCTAGAGGTACCGGCAGCACGGGGCTACACCGGGGGCTTTGCCTGTGACCTCATGCTGAAGGCGAATGTCGGTCCGGTTCACACGGCGGGGACGTGTTAAACGCGCATAGAATTGAGTGGATGTGCTCCATTTCTTCTGAAAGCACCTTTGGGGTGTTTCAGGGGGACACAGAAGGAACCCTGTTTGGGCTTCAGCCCTTGATTTCCAGCAAAGCCGCAGCCCCAAAAAAGGATATCTGCAAAAAAAGACACTCTTTTTGAACCCAAGCAAACCCGTTTTATGAGGGCTTCAGAGGGTTTGCGTTTGTGGACACCATTTTGGCCCCTGCTCCACCATGAACAGTCACCCCAATTTGGTTCGGACCTGCTCAGCATTTTAAATCACGGCTTGGGGTGAGGAAAAACATGTCCAAGGTATATGAAAGGCATCGATCCACATCGATCCTTTGGAAGTAACATGTGCAGTCTCAAGAATCCGGGGCCGTTTCACCCGACGGGAAAACACATGCATAGTCGGGAGTTTCCAATGTGAGGACCCCAAAAATCAACTAATCCTTTTGGGCTATACCTTGCTGATAAGGAGTTTCCCAGACCCTCGGCATTGAACTAAGCTCTTCACACACCCAGACCCCAAGGTCTGCCAGGGGTTTTCTCCGAGAACATTGGATCTGGGTGAATTATAACGACCTCACACGACCGAATTCGCCCCAAATGGTGGTTAATGTGGGGAATGGCCCCCAAACCGCCTTATTTCAGGCGGGTGAAATATTATAATTCACCCAGCTGGGTGCATTTTGCTTGGATGTTAGGACTTTGACTTTTTGCAAACTACTGGGTTTTTCCCATTCAACAACTAAAGGTAAAGAAAAAACAACTTTTAGCAGGGGAGCAGAAAGCAACCGAGTATATGTATCTACACATACATGGTACACGTAGAGGAACCAGATGGTTCGGGATGGGATCCAGCAACCGAGGAACGGATGGGCAACCGATTTTCACCTCTCGCACTCCAGGACCTGGGGCTGGCGACCAGCGCCGCCTTCACCTCGAGCCCCAAGTTGGGCCTTCCCATGGGAGGCGAATCCAATGGGATCCAAGCAAGGCGTTGTGTCGAGGGAGGCGCCTTCCGTTTTTTTGTTTCCTCCTTTTTGTTCTTCTTTCTTTTCTTGTTTTTTCTCGTCTTTTTTCCCCCCCGGGGCCGGATGGGTTCCCGAAAAATAGGGGACCCCTGTTTATGAATAGATTTTTTCAGAGGGGTCCTTTTAAGTAAATCAGGTTGGTTGAATATAGAGACCACTCTGGTTTCAGTTGGTTCCCATGGGGGCACGGCTTGGTTTTTGGAATCCGTTTGGGATCCAACGGGAAATCCCCCAGCAACAGTTTGCGGGGATCATTCCCATGCTTTCGAGTCAAAAGCGAGGCGAGCGAGGAGACCCTTCCTGTTGGAAAGAGGCAATGAACCATGCGAGTGCTTGTTTTCGTTGGCCAAAAGGACACATTCTCCAATTTAGCTTGGTCATGTTCAGGATGAGATTGAAATTTCTGCCAGCGAAAGCCGTCCATTGACCTAGGCCAGTTGTTTAAAGGCCTGGTGTTGATGGGTTAAAGGTGTGAGTTAGTCGGTAGGTCCCTTGGTCCACGTATGCAAAGGACTTCGAGAACTAGTTTTATGGACCCATGAAGGCAACATCCCCGGCGGCTATTTAGGGGCAGCCACTTTGAACCCATGTCGCTTTTCTCAGGGGAGTGGCCGGCCTTCATAACTCGTAAACCGGGGACCCTAGGTGTTGCATTCATTTCAGGTTTTCACCCCAGGGTTTAACTTCCTGCAGTTTGCCCATGCGGCAGCCAAAAAGGGGATCTTATCCATGGCCGAGTCGGCCCTGAATTCATTTTCATTGGGTCTGGGATTGGTCGTCCATTTTTGTTTTGGAGTGGGGGCAGACCTGCGACGTGGATGCGGGACGCGCCTTTCGTGGGCTACGTAGCTTCCCAAACGCTTAAACCAAAAAGAACCAAAACGATACCACGAAGCAGATGGGCGCCCAGCTCAAAGAGTCCACCACGCTTGGGAGACTGGGAGGATGTGACGTGAAGCTGACAGACTGTGGCCTTGGGGGGGGGGGCCGGGGGTTGGCTGTGTGAGGCTGGATTCACACATTGCCGCTCCGAAGTTGCCCCTGATGGTGACCTCTATCTTTTTTGTTTGTTTGTTCTCTTGGCAGCGAGGTGCCACTTAGTTGGTGGTTTGGATTGGTTCGTGTAAAGGGCAGATGGGAAGCCATCGAACCACCAAACCACCAATCCCAGTCACCAATTAAGAGGAAGCTGCATGGGCCTTCTTGCAGCTTTCATCCCCGTCAGAAGACCTCATGAAACTACGGCCTGCAACCCTGGTCCTGATATCTGCCCTGCGAATTGTGATCGGTGTTTTCTGGTGCCCTTTGTTGGGGTTTGGTTTGCAACGGCAACCAAAAGGAAGCCGCCTATTGTGACCACATACCATGCGTTGCTTGATGTTCAAGAGGACATACCGAGCCTGGGCACCTGGCATGGGAATTGGTTTCCCTTCCTTCAGAATTCGCGAAAATTCGCTCGCGGGATCCGGCGACAGGCTTGGCGCTCCAACTGTACTCCCAGATGAGCGCTCGAGGAGATGGAGCCAAGGCGGGAGAAGCGAGAATCAATTTGCTCGGAGCCGAGCGGTCGGGGGAGTGCTTTTGGGTGTTTTGGGTCGTAAGGAGTGCGGGGCTGACCGTCTCTTTTCCTTCATGAGAGCCATCAGCGCGAGTTCTTTGGGGGGGGGGGGGCGAAGCTCCATTAGTGCAGGCTTTCTCATTTTAACAAGTCCTGATACTAATGATTCTACTTGTTCATCGAGAAATGACAAACATCGACAGGAACATTTGGTGCGTGTTTTAGTAGCTCGTTTGCTACCGAAAATTAACGGAACCAACATGTCTTGTTTTTCCTTAAATGGCGTGCTAATATTGTATTGAATTCTATAGATAAATTACAAACCTTGGAATTCTGGAGACCAGATAGAGATAATACTTCAAAAGACTTCAGTACGTCACCTGAATATCCCCGACATATTTCAAGGTGCCTTACATGTATCTCTACAAATTATTCCAAGAATCTAATTCTCCAGAGGCTTTATCATGTTTATATGCAATAGTTAAAAGATAGTATAAGCCTTATTCTTCTGTACATCAAGAATAAATGATAATTTCGTGTCATGAGCAAAATCAATTTAGGAAGTGTATATGCGGATGAATACGATAGGTGTAGGATGTTTAATGCAGTTTTTGTTTGTAAACACGGGCGTGAGAAATGTAGTGATACACAAATTCTTAACTGTCAAATAAAACAAACGTAGACAAGTAGAGGAATTACGAGACATCAAGAAAAAGAGGCAGTAAGTGAAGAATATGTTTTACACGATGCAATACAGTATCAAGCTAAACGAGCAGTGGTGTCTTTATCTGATGTAGTGGGAAAAATCGATTCAACTTTATGGGGGCGGGGGGGGGGGGGGGGGGGTAGGTTGTAATATGGCCAGATTCTCAGGGGGATCGGGCTGCAATGCGGGTGATGCTGGTGATGCAAGTGATGCAGGGTCCGCATCCCCAGCATCCTCAGCATTACCTGGCACGTCACCCATCTTCAGCATCTGTTTCTGTTGGCAGCTGCTCCCGCCCAAAAACACAGTTTTTGGGAGCCCCTCCTTGCCTGCGAAGCTGTGCCATATGCCTGGCCTCCCGCGCAAAAGCACGGTTTTTGGGAGCCCCTCTGGCATGTATGCCTCTTGGTTTTGGGAGCTGCTCCTCCCATTCCGGAGCCCCTCTTCCCTGTCTAGGTTGGGGGGTGTGCAGGGGATTGTGTGGGGTTGTGCAGGTTGTGGGGGGTGGGGGCAGCTCTCGAATCGGTGGCCAGAGGGCTGAGGACTGACAACATCGCTGGAAGAAGGCAACGGAAGACATCTTTCTTTTGGGGTCCGTGTGGGTGACTTGCCACAATGATTGTTGGAGGTTCAGATTCATATATGATATCGCACGACCACCTGTCGCACTGCTCTTTTGCTCCGCTTGTGGCTTCTGCTTGGGTCAGAGGGGCTTCTCCCTCTCTCTCTCTCTCTCTCTCTCTCTCTCTCTCTCTCTCTCTCTCTCTCTCTCTCTCTCTCTCTCTCTCTCTCTCTCTCTCTCTCTCTCTCTCTCTCTCTCTCTCTCTCTCTCTCTCTCTCTCTCTCTCTTTCGTTAAAATCGGTTGTTACTTTGCTTACAAGTGCAAGTGCTGTAGTGTTCAAACAAACAGTCAACCGATTTAGTCTGCAGCTGCCAACCTTTTCACTCATGCGAAGTAGTGAGCTCAAGGCCTGCAGTAGTGAACATACATGCAACACAAATGCAGGAAGTGAAGCATGTAGTTTGACACGGCCCCTCAGTTAAAAGGTCTTTGTAGTACCTTTTCAACTGAAGTGCAAAACATGGATTGTCAGTAGTGATGAAAACCATTGTTGTTCATCAATTCTACTGTATTTGCAAAAGTAGTGACCTGCGCTCAGTAGTTCACGCTGTTCAGGTTCCAGCTCGATGTAGGCGCTGGATGGAAGTAGTGAGGCAGGCACTCGTTGTACTGGAGCATCAGCTCAAAGATCTGGTCCCCATTTCTGTGCTTCATAGTCTTGGACCATCTGGAGTCTGTTGTCCAAGGTCGCGTAGTAGTGTATGGTGAAAAATGTTGTCATGTAGTTTGGAGCTCCCCGTAGTCGCTCGTCGTCTATCTCAGGGCACGACATGTGTTGGTCGTACTCCCTGAGAAAGCGGTGTAGTAGTGCTTTGTGATGTTGAGTGAGGTTTGTCATGGTGAGTAGTGTGAATCCGTAGTACTGGATACTCTTGCAAAGGATGGTAGTAATTGCCTTGTGCTGAAAGTCGTGTAGTTGGTCTCTGTTATAAAGGTAGTGGAGTAGTTCAGGTAGTAGTAGGGGCATGTGGTAAAGGTAGTTGTTCCTGAGGCTGTAGTTGTCGGTGAAGGTGGTCATGTTGTAGTTCACCTTGTGGATGGTCTGTGGAATTGGTGTGGTCGGGAGGTAGTAGTTCTGTTGTATGGACATCATGTAGGAGATGTAGTCCCTTGTGAAGTGTAGAAATTGTCCTGAAGTGAGGTACCTCAGGAGTAGTGGTTGTTCAATCTGGAGTTGGATGATGACGTAGTTGGTGTTGTCGCTGGTTGTAGTGTGGAGTGAAGTCGTGTGGTAGTAGTGGACGTTGGCTGCTTCAGGTAGTGAAACGCTGAGCAGTGTGGAGTTGTAGTGGGGATGCGAAGGTCTCCAGGGATGCAGTGAATGGGTCGCGTGTAGTCCAGTTGTGCCAGTGGAGTTGCTTGTTGTTGTGAGAGTAGTTGATACTCTTCAAGTGTGAGTGCAGTGAAAAACTGAGTGTAGGGTGTGTTGTCGGGCAATGGTGGTGTAGTGGTTGTCTGGTGCTCAGTGATGTGTAGTTGGTCCATCACTGTGGTCGGGTTGTAGTAGAGTTTCTGTGTGTGCGTGTGTCTTGTGTTTGGTGTGTGTGCGTGCGTGCGTGAGTGTTTTTCCGGCTTCGGCCGTTTCAGGGGCGGGCATCACACAAGCGGGTGCTCGTCAGATAGTGGAAAAGCGTGGAAAAGCAAGGTTGTAGTAGACCGTGTTGCCAGGTGTAGAATGGTTGAAGTGGTAGTTGGAGTCGTTGTAGGTTTGAGGTAGTGGAGTTCCGTGGTCACTGGAGTCCGTAGTGACCGCCACCTCAGGTGTAGTTGCCCTGTCGGGCGTAGTGGCGTCTCCCATCGTAGCATCTGCAGTAGATGGAGCGGCCATGGCTGCAGTGGAATGCAAAATGTAGTGAAACGGGGCAAAAACAAAACGAGCCTAAGTAGTTGCTATCAGGCAGGCGGCGCATGCAGACATGTAAAACAAACAACTGTAGTCAGCCGCCAAAAGTGCAAGTGAAAATACATGTAGTTACTGTTACTTGCATACCAAAGGTGTCGTGTTACATGTAGCTACTTACATACAAGAAATGTCCAAAGTCGTTGTTGTTGTTGTTGTGCTGGCTGGTCGTTCGTAGTGCTAAATGCGTATCCCAATGCTCTGGATGAGCCTGTGTAGTGTTTCTTTGCTGATGTATTTGGTAAACAAATCTGCGCTGTTGTGAAGTGTGTTGATCTTAAGGATTCTAATGATGTCGTGCTTGATGAGGTCTTGTGTGAAGAGAAATTTGAGGTCGATGTGTTTTGCTCGTTTGCTAGTGCCTTGTCGTGTAGCAATGCTCTTGCCTGCTGTGGAGTCTGTCTGTGTGGATGCGTAGGTTTAGCTTGCTGCAAATGTTGGTTTCAAGTAGGAAGTTTCTGAGGTGTAGTCCCTCATTAACTCCTGTGCAAATGGCGTAGAGTTCAGACTCTGCTGAGCTGAGTGCTATTGTAGCTTGTGTTCTGCTGCCAAATGCAACTGTTGTTCCTAAAAAGATGATGTTGAAACCTGAAGTTGATTTCCTGGTAGTAGGGCATCCTGCCCAGTCGGCATCGACATGAACGTCGAGATCCAGGATGTTGTTGGTGTTTGCTCTGAGTGTTGTTGTTGGTTCTATGGTGAATTTGTAGTGCTTGGTGCCGTGCAAGTAGCGTAGTAGATGTTTGACTCTCTTTTGTGAAAGTTCTGTAGGTGCTGTGAGGTCTCGTGCTAGTTCTTTTGTGGAGTATGCAATGTCTGGTCGTGTGTATGCTAACCATTGAAGTTTGCCAACAATCCTTCTGTACCTTTTGTGTTGTTCGTGGTCAAGTAGTGCTTCATCTTCTATTGTTGGTTTGTAGTGTGCAATTCCTGGAGTGTTCACTGAGTTGCAGTTGTTCATTCCAGACTCCTCGATCATGTTGTCGATGTAGGAGTCCTTTAGTCCAAGATTGCAGTAGTTGCCAAAGCGGTCAATGTTTCTTCCAAGAAATTGTTGTGGTTTGCCAGGTTCGAGGTAGCCGATGTGCTTGAGTAGGACCTGCTTCTGGACGGCCTCGAAAGTGGAGTCGACCGCAGTCTTGTCTCCAAGTACTAGTAGATGGTCCACGTAGACAATGATGTAGCAGTCGCGGGTCGCATTGGTGTAGACGTTAGGTTCTGACTTTAGTCTTACAAAGCTGAGCTTTTGTAACACTTCAGCCAGGTAGTCCTGCCATGCTTTTGGTGAACTGCGTAGTCCATACATGGCTTTCTTTAGTCGCCAGATTTTGTCCTGTTGTGGACAAAGTTCTTTAGGTGGCCAAAGGTAGACGTCACGTTGTTTACCGTCGTGGTCTTTGGCGATGGGTGTAGTCGCGCGATCCAGTTTGGTCGTGACATTTGTAGTGCTAGAAGTGTCCGGAGTGTCGTGAACATTGGTGTAGAGGCGTAGACGGAGTCTTTGTCCTCGATCTTCTCTGTGTAGCCTTTTGCGACGATTCGGCTTCGTACTCCTGGTCCTTTCTTTCTATGCACCCATCTTGTAGGTATCGCTTCTCTGATGACGTTGTCGTCGACGGTAGACGCATCTACTTCGTCGTAGACGTCATGTAGCTTCATTTGGTTTGACTCGTGTTTCATTCCTTCCAGTAGTTGTGTTTCGTCGTAACCTTCGTTGTCGAAGATTATGGGTTGGTCTTCT